TACATTGTAAATTTCTGAGGGGATTCATAGTATCGTGTTATCATTTAAGATATTTTTTTCTTTTTTGATTCTGTTCTCCCTGGCTATCATCACCTTGGCATTATGCAGACCCTGTTGGGGAGAGAAATAGTGGACCCAGGTCCCAAAGTTCTCTGTGAATGGCAAAGCATGTGTAAGAGGCAGATCTAAAAGTTATGAGGCAGAGCAGATATGATCACAGGGCAGAAGCCTCACAGAAGCAGGGGAAACATCCCTGTTTGGAGTCAGGAGTGGTCAGGAGAATTTCTGTTGCTATCCATTTTGGAGAGAAGGCTGCAGGAGAAGGGCTATCCTCAGGGGAGGCCCAGGATTCCTGTAGAGCCTGGAGATGAAGAGACTTCTAAGACAAGATGAGGATGTAGGAAGTTGATTAGCAAGGGATTAGGATTCCAAAGGCTGCAGTGCAAGGGGCTGTGATGCAGGATAATAGTGGGAGTTACCGAAGCTGAGAAAATAGAGAAGAGTGTAGGGCACTAGACGAGGTAGGAGGTCTGAGCTGGGATTAGGCACTTGCCTTTCTCCCTGTAAAGGAAAGTTATGATTACCAGCAACTGGCCTCCACCCAACTGTGTACAAATGATATTGGTGCCATAACTGCCTAAGGGTCCCAGGCACTTGGACCTGCCTCCAGTATTTGTTATATGGGCACGGTGACAGCGGTGGAGTGGAAGGGCAAAGTCTCCCAGGAGGCTCACTAGAGTTCTGGGTTGATGAGTACTGTTGTGCTGAGCCTTTGTATTCTCACTGTCTATGTAATCACTTACAATGATTATTTCGTGAATATAAAACATCTACTCTCTACTTACAAGTGAAACTCTTTAGACTCAATTTCTGGGGATTTTTGGTTTTCTTCCCTGAATTCAGGACGTGCCCTACTTCAACTTGGGATGCGGACTGCTAGAGTGTCGTGGTTCTGTCATACTTGGCTGTGAGTGAAACTCATTTCTTTGAGCTCCCTTTGTTTTGTGAAGCTCAGTGTTCCAAGTTCTCTCGTCCCTAAGGTCCTTGGCTGATGACTGCTTCGTAACCACATTCTTCTAGCCAACATGATGTAAACCAACAAAGCTTGCCAGTAACTCTGTGATCTCTGAGAGATCACTTTAAGAAAAAAGGCTAAATTCATTGACTCATAAAACCAGTCTTTTGGCATACATGGAAGCCAATGAAGAAAGTATGTGAAAAGACAAGTTGCAACAATCTGTTCTTAAGAGCCATTGTTGGCCCCTTCTAAATGTCTGTTCTTTTAACTTCTGAAACTGCTGTCTTTGTATCTGAAAACATTAAGCTATTATGAACTAGAATTTGCCAATGCCAAATTGAAAGCAATTTTATGAGTTTAAAATGTCATTGCCAATAAAACATCATCAAATACTTTCTTTTCGTATTTCAGTGTAGAGTTGAAACATTTCTTTAGATCCAGGCAGGGGAAGTTCATTTTTGAAGACATAAGTTATGAGAATTTAAAAGGGACAATGAGGACTTAGTTGAGGTTTTCATGGATCTAGTTTTGATGTGACTTTCAATCTTAGGTGATTTTGATCTTTTCTTTCTATTTCTTAAGTTGCTTTGCAAACAGCTACATATTTAATGGTCTCAGAGTTCGTAAATAACATGGTCATTTATGGGCTGCTATTTGACATTGTTCTAATATCCCCAAACTCTGCTCCTATCTGATTTTCCTACCTGTCTGGTTGGCACTAGGCTTAGAATAAGATTTTTTTTTAACCGTGGTCATAGTAATATTCGTCCATGTTTCTCTTTAGTGATCCCTATATCAAAATGCCAAACCCAAATATTAGTCTCTTGGCCTTTTGTTTATAGTTCTTATGAAAATTGCATAGCTTATCTGTGCTAAAATGGTAGACTTTAAAATTTATTTTCTCCCATGAGGTTTATAAAACATGACTAAATGAAACTCATGGAATGGGAAACAAATGGGAATATTGGGATATACTTCTTTCCCATTTAATGAAAGTATGACTAGACTTTTGACCTACACTGATTCCGGAAAGTGATGTTAAGGCAAAATGTTTTAGGTAATTAACTCTCTTTCTTCATTTGTGATTTTTTTTAAAAAAAGAAGAAACTTTGAAAAATTAAAGACAGATACTAAATATTAACTATAAACGGATTTCAGTATGAGGGATAATAAATGTTTGAAAGATTCCAAGACAGATAAAGTATAAGAATTGCATGGATAAGTAACTTTTAATTCATAATATGACAGTGACATTTTCTTATTTACATTTCCATGAAAGTCTAGTCATACTTGCTTTAAATGAAATCTAATTGAGTACTTACAGATGAAGAACACTAAATGTAACTTTATATTTGGTCTTAGATGATTCATTAGAAAATCCTTGATTTATAGATAAGCAAACTGTCTCTAAGAGACTGGAACATTTTTTAAAGCTCCCCAATATTTTAGGGCCAAAACCAGGGTTTCAACTCAGTTCTCTGGATTATTAGATATCATTAAATTAAACTTTTTAAAATAAAATATACATAGTGGAAAGAGAATTCCATGAATTGCAGTAAGTTCTTTGTGCTGGTGCTTGAAGAAAGACCTCATGCTAGGAAATTCTTGCCTTCAGAAATTACCAATATGTCACTTCCTACAGTGACATATTAATTTGTCACTTTATTTGCCTTAATCAGTCCTACATGGATGGTCCAGTAGGCCTGAACTCAGAATGTAGTTTATACCAGCTTTTAAAAGGCATTTCTTTACCCTATCAAGTAGCATACCTATTCATAGGCATCTAAAATCATACCAAATTTATTTTCCATAAGCAACACATCCCAGCTTCTCAGGCCCACATTCTAAACAAGTAGCAAGTAAGTAGACTCGAGGTATAACCATTCCATTATTTACTATTGTAATGTCATCTTATAGAGAGATCTCTTAGACTCAACATAAAATATCCTTATTTTTATTTTTGTTGACCTTTCATCAGCCTTTGACTCCTGGCTTAGAAATCAGTTATAAGACAAAATGCAGTAGCTCAGTATTGATCCCCCATTACAGATGCTTATGCAGAAGCAGGAACTGAGCAGTGGAAGTATTCTCTTATTGGATAAGAAAATATTTGCCAGTTCATTAAAATAGGAATGTGTTCTGGACTTACTTTTGGATAAACAAGTTGCATTCACTTTTTTCCCTCTCAGCCACCAAAAAGCAAAGACCCATATTCAGATGATATGAGTTTATTATCTGGAACTAGGAGCGACTTAGAGACTACTGGTTCTATTCTCTAATCACTGCCAGAAAGAAGAAAATGGCTTCAGATCAACTATCCTAAAGTCAAGGTGTTTATTTTTGGTAGACATTTCACCTAGTTTATAATTGACATCTCTATTAATCAAGTTTCCTCAAAGTAATTATGACCTAGGATGCTCCTTTCTGGTGCAAAGGGCATGACATTTAAATCCAGAGAATACCTCTGGATTAAGATGATTATGTGAGCAAATGTGTTTTCTTCTCATAATTTTACCCTTACCTTCTTTATGACTAGTAGAGTAGAAGATTCATAAGCAAGATTAATTAGGATAGCTTAAAGGAAATAGAGAAGTTATTGTCTTGTAAATATGAGTAATTTTAAAATTCTAATACAGTAATATTTTAAATTGCTTATACACATATTGATTTTATCACTTTCTGTTTAAGCAGAATATTCTTCTCCCCAACCACTCTCGGTAATAGTAGTCTAAGTTGGGGAAAAACAGAGTTAAAATCTTTTGAAGGAAAACAAGGCCCAAAATAATGTTGAATATGTACAGAAGAGAAGCTTGTAATTAAAAGTCAATGAAAAGAAGCTTTGGGGAAAAAGTAGAATTGCTAATAGTGCCACAAAAACAATACCGTGCTTCTCACAAAAGAGAGAAGCAAATCCTACTGTAATCTCTGCTACTACATTTATGACTATTGAGGTACGGCAATAAGAATTTATTTCTTTTGTGTTCTCCATAAGTAAAACTGAAATGATAATATTCCCATATTTACTTAATAAAATACCAGGAAAATAGTAAGCTGCTTATTTAAGAGCCTTATTTAAGGTTTAACAATAATAAATACAATTCTAATTTAAGCTCTGATGGACATATCAGAGGATTCCTTTGGAGTTTTCTTATTTAAGACATTGAGCACATGGAAGCAATTTTTTTAGGAGATATTTTAACAAGAATATTTCTTGCCTGGAAAAAAATGAAGGTAAATTTATAGCTGAGAAATTATATATTTGTCTAGATATTTGAGAGTAAATCTATTTTTCATATTCTACCCAAAATAAAAGAACAAAAGTTCTTATATAAGCAAATACTGTTAAAAAGCAAGTGGAGTGCATTATATTAAATATGCATAAGCCTGTTTCAGGGTTGACCTCGCCAGATTATTAGATCATCTTGATGTAAACATTATGCAACCAATGTGTTTCTTGATTTTATAGTCGTAGAAATTAGATTTTTATTAGATCATCCAGGAGATATCAAGTCCTATAAAATGGAGTCTTGCCCTGTGATTTACAAATCTGAGATCTTAGCCTGAAATTCATAGTACTTCCTAATATATTTACAACTTCCTTTAGTTTTCATCTATTTAACAGACATATCTTGAGTTCCCACTGATTACCAGGCACTCAACTAGGAACTGGGAATACTTAAAATACATCATTTCTGCCATTTGAGTGAGGATACTAAATACAATTTATTATAATTATTTATTGTTATTGATACATACATAAAATGTAGTAGGAAGATAGGGGAAAGATCTAAATCAATGACTTAGTATAACTAGGCCCTTTACTACTAGCTGAATGACTCATTTCCCCATTTTCCAGAAAGAATATGCATGAATTTTAACCAATAACATTATACTAAGTTCCATGTACTCATATGTTTGCATTGTATAAGTTTTTAAACCAGTGATTTTAGGATTCAGATTGCATCTATTAAATCTTTTTCAGCCTTCACTTAGAAAGGGAACATGAGAAGCACTGAAAAGCAAGGCACTGTGATCTATACAGAAACCATATATTGGGCTCACAGCTACTGAATGAGACTGACTGGTGGAGACAGTTTAGTGAACCTGGTAACTTCAGGGGTTTTTTTCTTACTTTTAACTGTGAGACAGAATAGGTTAATTGGTGATTTATAGTGAAAAAATTCATTTAAAAATTGTTTTGTCTCCTTACAAGATATCTATTTGAAAAAGTTAGTCCTGCAATTCAATAGGAAGAAAAGGCTTTATTATAGTGTGATAAAAGTATGTCTCTTAAAAATAAAGGCAAATCGGTCAGATGTATTGGCTTATGCCTGTTATCCCAGCACTTTGAGAAGCTGAGGCGGGCAGATCACTTGAGCTCAGAAATTTGAGAGCAACCTGGAAACATGGTGAAACCCTGTCTCTATTAAAAATACAAAAAACTAGCTGTGCATGTTGGCACTATGGTCCCAGCTACTGGGGTGGCTGAGGTGGGAGGATTGCTTGAGCCATGGGGTGGAGGTTGCAGTGAACCATGATTGCATCACTGTACTGCAGCCTGGGCAACAGAGCCAGACTCTGTCTCAATTAATTAATTAATGGCAAATAAAATTTATTTGTGATTTATTTAGAATATTGGTACTTGAAAATAAATTTTTTCAGTGATTCAATCTACCACAAATGTTTAATAATTCTTCAGTTAAGAATTATTCAGCCATTTTCAAATATATTTAATCAGGTATTTTAGAGGAATGCTATTAGTTCTCAGATGGGCAGATTTTTGGAATATACAAAGTATGGAAAAACTTTCATAGGATAAAAAAGAATAAAAATAAAACTTACATTCCTTGAGTGCACAATATTTGCCAGATATTCTAATGTTAGCAGGCATTTCCAGTTTGGGAACTATTATAAACACAGATGTTATGGATAGTCTTATCTCTCAGAGTACATGTGCACGATTTTTGTTGGTTATACATCTAAAAATTATCATTTCTAAGTCATATCATAGGTATGTGTTAGCTTTAGGTGATAATACTAAGCATTTCCCAACGTGGTTGCCCCAAGTTTTCCTCTCATTTATGGTATAAAAGAATTCCAGAAGCATTTATTTCATCTTATAAGAACCAGAACCCTGATTATATTATTAGCATTAGAATTAAATTTAAAAAGTTAAGCCAAATAGAGACCAGGCCTGGTGGCTCACACCTGTAATCCCAGCACTTTAGGAGGCTGAGGCAGCTGGATCACTTGAGGTCAGGAGTTTGAGACCAGCCTGGCAAGCATGGTGAAACTCCATCTCTACTAAAAATACAAACATTGGCTGGGCATGGTGGTGGGCGCCTCTACTCTCAGCTACTTGGGAGGCTGAGCCAGGAGGATCACTTAAATCTGGAAGGCAGAGGTTGCAGTGAGCTGAGATCCTGCCACTGTACTCCAGCCTAGACAACAGAACAAGACTCAATCTCAAAAACAATACAAAATGAAACAAAACAAAAACTAAAACCAAGTAGAATTTCAAGAAATGAAAAAAAAAATAACAGTAACAAAAATTAACCCAAAGCATGACCTAAGTTGAGAATTAGACATAGCTGAAGACAATTTATAGAACTTTCAACTTACAGAAATTATTCAATATGCAGCACAAAGATATAAAGATGGAAAATATGAGCAGTTAAGAGACATTGAAGGTAGAATGGGAAGGTCCAACATATGTCAGAGAGAAGTTCCAGGAGGAGAGAATGGGGGGGAGGCAATAGTCAAAGAGATAATAGCTGAACAGTATTTATGTTAGATGATAGACATTAATCCTCAGATTTAAGGAACTCAGCAGATTCCAAACAGAATAATTAAACACCCATACCTACACATAAAATTTTAGAGCACCAAATATAAGAAAGAATATTAAAGAAACTATAAAGATTACCTACAAAGGAATTGAAGGAAAGGAATAATATCTTCAAAGAGCCAAGGGAACATTCCTATTGGTCTAGGCTTGAAAAGCCAGCTAAAATATTTCAGAAGGAATGTCAAAGAAGGTTGTGTTTAGAAAAAGAGTGAGTTTACCACTTAGATCTTGACAGAAAGATTACTGAAGAATGTACTAACTGCAGAAGAAACTTAAATCTAGAACAAAGGAATATTATATAAGAAGCACTGGTGAACAAAGAAATTAATATTATAAGTGAAAAAGAGAAACATGCAAAGTAGTTATTTAAATAAAATATGAGAGAATAAAATGAGCAATGTAATGCTGATAGACTTTAAAACTTAGGGAAAATGGGAAATCATCTGGAAAAATACAGATTTCCAAAATTGACCCAGCATGTGTGAAACTTGAAAATGTGAAGGAATAAAAAAAAAAAAAATCCACTTTTTTTTTTTTTTTGCTGAGGTCTGCTACACTTTTGCAAAACAGATTGTTCCTATCTTATATAACCTGTTCCAAAGACTAAAATAAATGAAGTGCTTTCCAACTCATTTTACAAAACCATTATAACATTAATACCAATACAGGAGAACTGTTTAGAAACTATAGGCTGATATCACTGATGAACATAATACAAAAATAAGAAAATACATATGCAAACCAAATCCTGCAATGTATTAAAAAGAATTACAACCAAGTTTGGTTTATTCTAGAAATGAATAAATGATTTAGCATTTGAAAATCTATATAAGTTATCACATTAACAGATCAAAGTAGAGAAACCATTTGCTTATCTCTACAGATGGAAAAAATTATTTAAAAATCACCCATTCATAAAAAATATCTTAGGAAAGTAGGAATAGAATGGGACTTCCTTAATCTGATTTTCTTAACTGCCAAATCCTACAACAAACATTGTAGTAAAACATGGAAATATTCCCTTTAAAAGCAGGAACAAAAATAATTCTGCCATTGCTACTACTATGCAATTATAGCCAGCAAAAAAAGAAAAGAAAAGAAAAATGAATGACATCAGGGCTAGAAAGGAAAGACCAATTATTTATTTGATGGAACATTGTCTACATCGAAAATTTTTTAATTACAGATGATGTATTAGAATTATTGAAAGTTCAGCAAGTTTGGATACCATCCAAAATATAAGAAAAATATAGGGTATTAGTTTGTTTTTCATGCTGCTGATAAAGACATATGCAAGACAGGGCAATTTACAAAAGAAACAGGTTTATTGGACTTACAGTTCCATGTGACTGGGAAGGCCTCACAATCATAGCGGAAGGTGAAAGGCACATCTCACATGGTGGCAGACAAGAAGAGAAAAGAGAGCTTGTGTAGGGAAACTCCCCTTTTAAAAACCATCAGTACTCATGAGATGTATCACGAGAACAGCACAGGAAAGACCTTTCCCCATGTTTCAATTACCTCCCACTGGGTCCCTTCCACAACACATGGGAATTCAAGGTGAAATTTGGGTAGAGACACAGCTAAACCACATCATTCTGCCCCTGGCCCCTCCAAAATCTCATGTTCTCACATTTCAAAACCAATCATGACTTCCCAGCAGTCCCCCAGAGTCTTAACTCATTTCAGCATTAATTCAAAAGTCTACAGTCAATAGTCTCATCTGAGACAAGGCAAGTCCCTTCTGCCTCTGAGCCTGTAAAATAAAAAACAAGTTAGTTACTTCCTAGACACAATGAGGGTAAAGGCATTGGGTAAATACAGCTGTTCCAAATGGGAAAAGTTAGCTGAAACAAAGGGGCTACCGACCCCATGCAAGTCCAAAATCCAGCAGGGCAGTCAAATCTTAAAGCTCCAAAATGAACTCCTCTGACTCCATGTCTCACATCCAGGACATGCTAATGCAAAAAGTGAGTTCCCATGGTCTTAGGCAGCTCTGCCTCTGTGGCTTTGCAGGGTACAGCCTCCCTCCCAGCTGCTTTCATGGGCTGGCATTGAGTGTATGCAGCTTTTCCAGGTACATGGTGCAAGCTGTCAGCAGATCTACTATTATGGTGTCTGGAGGACGGTGGTCCTCTTCTCACAGCTCCACCAGGTGGTGCCCCAGTAGGGACTCTGTGTGAGGCCTGCAACCCCACATTTCCCTTCCACACTTCCCTAGCAGAGGTTCTCCATGAGGGCCCTGCCCCTGCAGCAAACTTCTGCCTGGACATCCAGGTGTTTCCATACATCTTCTGAAATCTAGGTGGAGGTTCTTAAACCTCAATTCTTAACTTCTTTGCACCCACAGGCTCAACACCATGTGGAAGCTGCCAAGGCTTGGGGCTTCCACCCTCTGAAGCAACAGCCCCAGCTATACCTTAGCCCCTTTTAGTCATGGCTGCAGTGGCTGGAATGCAGGGAACCAAGTTCCTGGACCACACACAGCATGGGTAGCCTGGGCCTGCCCCACAAAACTATGTTTTCCTCCTAGGCCTCTGGGCCTGTGATGGGAGGGTCTGTCGTGAAGACCTCTGACATGTCCTGGAGACATCCCACCCCCACCCCTCCACTGCCCTCCCCACCCTGTTGTCTTGGGGATTATCATTTGGCTCCTCATTACTTATACAAATTTCTGCAGCTGGCTTGAATTTCTCCTCAGAAAATGGAATTCTCTTTTCTATGGCATTATCAGGCTGCAAATTTTCTGAACTTTTATGCTCTGCTTCCCTCATAAAACTGAATGCTTTTAACAGTACCCAAGTCACATCTTGAATGCTTTGCTGCTTAGAAATTTCTTCCACCAGGTATCCTAAATCATCTCTTTCAAGTTCAAAGTTCCACAGATCTCTAGGGCAGGGGCAAAATGTCACCAGTCTCTTTGCTAAAACCTAACAAGAGTCACTTTTGCTCCAGTTCCCAACAAGTTCTTCATCTCCATCTGAGACCACTTCAGCCTGGATTTCATTGTCCGTATCATTATCAGGATTTTTGGTCAAAGCCATTCAACAAGTCTAGGAGTTCCAAACTTTCCCACATTTTCCTGTCTTCTTCTGAGCCCTCCAAACTGTTCCAAACTCTGCCTGTTACTCAGTTCCAAAGTTGCTTCCACATTTTCAGGTATCTTTTCAGCAGTGCCCTACTCTACTGGTACCAATTTACTGTATTAGTCCATTTTCATGCTGCTGATAAAGACATATGTGAGATTGGGCAATTTACA